GACACATATTTTTTGTCAGAAGATGTGCAGCAGTTTGATGGCATTCCTGCCTCAACCAGCATGTTTTGAACTGACCTGTCTTCATTGCTATGGCTCCYTAGAAACTTTGCTGCTGATGAGTGTTGATTCAGCTGAATGCTTTGACATTCAGCTTGTCAGTGAAAGCTATTTTAATCCTTAAGATGCATCCCCCCTTCCAAGACTGCAAACTGTTGCTATTCATACACAACATTCTATCATTTGATTACTGCAGAGAAGCAGAGAACCTGAATAGTTACTAGTACTAGAGATCATTTTAAGAGTCCAAATCTACAGAATATTTATTATGTGAGGAGTTGTGCTTAGCAATTTATAGAAATCATCTTATTTAATCCTCACAGTTGTGGAGTCTGACTACATAAGTGTGAACCTCTGTTCTCTACTTACTACCTACATGATGAGCAGCCCTCTCTGTGACATGATTTCCTCCTCTTTAAACTGGAATAACAGTACCTACTTCACAACAATATCAGAAGAACTACATGAGACACTTCAAAGACAGTCTGTAGAATAGTAAATATGGCATAGTGAGTTCCATAGGTTAGCAATAATTTTTATTACTGCTTTTTTAGATGAAAATACACTATTTTCCTTCATCAGCTGTCCTACTCACCATCACTTCTTTAACTGTCTCTGTTGCTCAGACCCAAAAACGTGGAAATAACAGAAAATGAAATTTAATCTTTTCAGGACATTGTTCTATATATATCTGAACTCTAGCTCCATAAGAGTAGCACCACAATTGTAGCAAGTAAGAAACTTTTTTTTTTCCTTTTCTTTTTTTCTTTCCCATTAGGAGGCTAGGCCTATGTTCTGGTGACTTCCTGGTGAATGGGTTGAAAGTGAAGCTTCAGAGAGTTTTGAGGATTTAGGAGCAGAGAGGTCATTTCTGTAGGCTTCATTGAGAGGCATGACAGCAACAAGGTGGTAGAATTTCATAGTTTGCTATGCCCCGGCTTGTGCAAAAGCAGAAGAAATACATGTTATGTGTGTATGCAAAGTAACCTAATATACTATGTCAGTGGAGGGGGGAGCAACAAGGATCCCATGCTACTAGCTCAAATCCCCATATTCCAGAGCACAATGGGAAGCTTCCCATTGTGGCAGACGCTTCACTGTGCTCTTACCAGACTCCTTTCTTTCCCTCCTGAGCACAAAGCTAAACTATGTTTCCCAGTCTCCTATGCAATAAGCTGGGGAAATGGGACTCACTTTTAAAACCTATATGAACTTTTATGTGTACTTTCTTCCCTTATCTGCTACCTGAGTGTCTATGACACAGTAGAAGACACAATTCTATAAAATGGCAGTCACTGATTCAAGAACTGAAACTTAGCATTTCTTTCAACCATGAATATAAGCACTAGTGAACAGGAGTATTAGTAATACTCTGTCACCAATGAAAATCATTTCAAATTATATCACTGTTATTAGAGATCTCAATATTTATACTCAAATTTTCTTTGAAATAACTATAATCAATAGACACACTGGTAGATTTTTAAACTTCATATTCTAATAAGTACATATATTATGATAAAAGGCATTTTAAAAATAGGGATAACTGTATTTCAAAACATTATTTTCTTTTATAATCCCATATGATTTTTATTGCTTTATAAAACATTTTTCTGAGGTGGGATTCTCAGGTTTCACTAGATTGCCCAAAGGGGCTACAGAAGAAAATTAACAAAAATCCCCTCTAAATGGATCCTCAAATGACTTTCTAGAGTACAGATTCCTTTTTTCCTCTGCTCTATATAACCCCACCACATTGATGTGAACAATAAGATTTTAATGTGTTTAGTTACTGATATTTGGAGGTTATTTTTAAATTTTATTTATTTATTTATTCTAATTTGTTATATATGATAGCATAATGCATTTCAATTCAAATTACATATATAGAACACAGTTTTTCATGTCTCTGGTTGTACACAAAGTAGTGTCACACCAATCGTTTCTTCATACATGTACTTAGGGTAATGACATCCATCTCATTCCACGGTCTTTCCTATCCCCATACCCCCTCCCTTGGAGGTTATTTTTTACAGCAGTTGTTAGCAGTTATTATACAAAATAATAAACCTTTGTTACAAAACAGCCCAAACATGGTATAGAGTACCCAAGATCTAAAGAAGATTATGGGTGGAAAAGACCCAGAAGTGAAGAGTGAGGACCAAAGATTAGATGGGATGATTAAAAATATCTCAACAGATTCTACCTGGGAAGAAAGTGAAGATTAATGTGGAAAAACATTAACTTATAACACAACAATTTTAGTAATATAAAAAAAGCACATAATGTTTTTGAATTTTGAATTTGTACACTAAGTTTATATCTGCCACAAAATAATTAATTTTCTTATTTAACATTTTTCTCTTCCCTTACTAGAATGGCAGCTATTTTTGTTTCTCATAGCAGATGCTAAGTACTTTTTAATTCTTCAAACTTTATATATCTATATATAAATATATATGTTTATATATATTTATATACATAAATATACAGACATATAAAGTTTGAAGAATTAAAAAGCACTTAGATACACAAACACACACACATACACAAAGACACACAGTTTTAAAGCAATCTCTTATTACTGTTATTATTAGCTAGAGTTTAATATAAAGAGAAACAAAGAGCCATAAAAATTAGATAGATATTGCATAAGTCCTTCTATATAGAAATTTGAATGTTGATGATTTTTTAATAGTCTGTTGATTTAAATAAAATAGCCTTGATAGAGCTCTCCAGGGTTTTAAAGACAGTTATAAATTTGCCAATACTTCTTTCAAGGTATTAAGTTTTATATAATTTTATCTTTCCTCTTAGACTATTTTGCTGCCTTTATTTTAACCCTAGATCAAACAAATCATACTGTGAAACCTTCAGGTTATTAAAAGGCAGATGCAAAGACTCCTTTGAGGATAGCCTCTTTCTAGCCCCCAAGAAATTAATGTATCTAAACAATTTTAACCTATAGAACTATAATGAATGAAAATAAAATGTGGTTAGTGTGCTGGATATTCAGGACCTTAGCATAAAAATTCATAAAAATATAGTCTAACTTATTCTTAAATGCTATATACTATAAACATCAGTCTGTCTTGATCACTACTATATACCCAGCTCCAAATCTAATGCCTGGCAAATAAGAATTTTTATGAATGACTAAACTGGTCAAATATAACTCGTTTAAATTATATGCAGTGTATCCACACTGGACTTTGCCAGAAGTCCATTTACACATGTAAGGGTAAGGTCACTAGGGTAAGAAGTTAAAAGTTCAAAATTGCCAAAAGCTCACCAACCCTTGAAATTGTTAAAGGGATAAAAATTCTTTGATGGAAGAAATATTCTGATATTATATCATTTCAATTGATATTATTTGTAAAAAAGCAGTCTTTTCAAGCTACTTTTCAGTGGCTTTTTAGTATGTTTTATAAAGTACAATAGCTGTTTTTCTCTTTGGTTTTTCATGTTAATTTTTTTCACATTAAAAAATATATATAATAAGGAACCCCCTGAGTACCCATTTCTCACCTTAACAATTACCATATATTGCAATCCTTATTTTTTAGGTGTTCAGCGCTGGGTATTGAACCAGGGTGTTGTGCCATTGAGCCATGCCCTCAGGCAGCCATTCTATTTCATTTCCCCTCCTCCTCCTCAATTTTTTTTTTTACAGTAGAATTTTAAAACAAATTTTGACAACATTATTTCAACTGTAATTATTTTAGTATGTATCTCTTAAAAAATACTTTTTTTTTTTTTTGTACTGCGGATGGAACCCAGAGGCACTTTACTACTGAGCTACATTCCCAGCCCTTTTTATTTTTTATTTTGAGACAGGGTCTCACTAAGTTGCTGGGGCTGGCCTCTGACTTGCCATCCTCCTGCCTCAGCCTCCTGAGTCACTAGGATTACAGGGTGCATCACTGTGCCAGACCTAAAAGATACAGACTTTTTATAATCTAACAATATAATACCATTTAGCAAAATTATTTTTAAAAATCTTTAAATTCTTAATAGAATACAGTTCATGCTCATGTTCAAATTTTGCCTGATTATCTTAAAAGTTTTGGACTTGGTATATTTGAATTAGGATCCAATATTCCTAACATTTGAGTTTGGTTGATATTTTTAAAGTTTGCTTTAATAGCAACTCCTTTCCTCCTTTAAAAAAAAAATGCTACTTACTTGTTGAAAAAAAAAAAAACTGTCATTTGTTCTATAGAAATTTTCTCATTCTAGATTAGGTCAACAGCATTCTCCTATATAGTTCCAGCTATTTTCTGTAAAAGTGGTAGTTGTATTTTACATACACATAMAATTTTCTTTTGGCAAGAATAGTTCATAATTGATGCTATGTAATTTCTGTTGAATTGGGAGGTACATAATATTCATGTCTACTTTTAGTGATGTTAAGATTGATGACTGACTTCAAGTGTTTATTGTCAGTCCGATCCATTGTGACAAAATACTCCAAGTTTCACCTAATGTATTAGCTATTGATAATCATTGGCTAGATCCATTATTTCATCAAGCAAAATGATGATTTTATAATGATGATTTTATAATTTTATATGATTTTATAATTCATTCCCACTTATTTACTGGAGTTCTAAAAAAAAGAAATTTCTTTCACCAATACATGGTTACCCTGAATTAGAACCCATACCAAAAAAGGAGGATAAATGTATGTTTCTTTTACTTAATTTGATCTACACGCTGTAAGTTAGTGTCACATTTACTTCCAAGAGTGAGCAACCTACACTACAATACTCCTTCCAACCTACACTACACTTTTCCCTAAAGTAACAGGTAGTTTTTAAGGTGAAACCTAGTATGACTGGAATGGTCTAAGATAGGATGTAATTGGGCAGGCCTAGGTATGATGCAAGGATTATAGGATAGGAAGCGATGGATCAGGGAAGAGAGAATACCTCAAGCAGGCTCTAGGAGGCGGAATCCAAGTCTTCTGAGCTGTCCTGGACATCGGTGCTCCCCGTGGATTCGCTAGGTTCCTTGCTGTCACTCCCACTATCAGGGACAGCCGGGTTCTCCTGCTGACAGGTGGTTTTAGAACCAGGAAGTGTGCTGCTCTGGCTCTCCTGGTTCTCCCTGGAGCCCAGCACCACATACCCGCCCTTCTCCTTCAGCTCCGGCTGCCTTCTTAGCTCATCTGCCATTTGTGAGAGATCCCGCTTCATAGCATAAGCATCTTCCCCGTCTGCATAGTATTTGGGTTCCACCTCACTGACCTGAAAGTTGAGAGTGTTAGAATAGAGGTGCAAGGCCGCCCGGTTACTCTTCCTGACGTGCAGGGACACATACTTGGCACTAAAGTTCTCTATCATGGCCCGCGAGGCCTGGTCCATCAGCTTCTGAGCCAGGCCGAGGCGCCGGTGTGAGCGCTTCACAGCCAGTGAGGTGATATGCCCATGGGGGACATCATCAGGGTCCTCTTCCATTTTGGCCAGTACATAGCCCACAATCTTCCCGTCCTCGTCCTCAGCGATGTAGGAGAGCTGAGGCCAGGAAAGGCCATGGTAGAAATAGTATTTCATCTGGTAGTTCTCGGGAAGGCAGAGGAGGTTGCAGTGTTGCATGTTCATCAGGTCGTCTGGACGAGCATTGCGGATGTTCATAATGGCGGCGGGCAGGGAGCCGGTAGGACTGAGGTGAACAGAAAAAGGCTATCTCCAGCACAGGGGGCCCGGTTCGCCTCGGCTAATTGAGTTCCGGCAGCCAAAACCTAGCGCCTAGGGCGTGGAGGCGGGAAGGCGGGAAGGCCAGAGGCGGAAAGGGCGGTGCCAAGTGGCTCCGGAAGTGTCCGCCACAGCCAATGAAGTTCCACCTCTTTGTTCCTGCGCTCCTGGCAAGGGGGGCGAGGGGGCGCGGAGCGGGTGTTCTTGAGAATCCTTAGGGTTTAAATGAAGGGACCTATGATGTTATTACCTTTGATTCAGTTTTAATTTTTGAGTACATCTGGATATGTTTTCACCATCTGAACAAACCCATATAACCAGAATTTAGATCATTGCCTGCACCCCTTCAGGAGTCCCATATTATGCTCCCTTCCAATATCTGCCACACCCCACATCCCCAAACTAGCACTAGACTTCTAAGAGACTTTGTATAAATGCATTTTTTTTTTTCTGTGCAGGGTCTCTTTTTAATTTTTGTTTATTTCCCCACTCGTGAGTTTCAGCTACTTTCGTTGTGTACATTTGAGGGTTCTTTATATTCGTTCCTGTTGTGTATTCCATTGCCAGAATATCACAATTCATTCATCCATTTTACTGTTGATGGTTATTTGTGTTATTGAATATGTCTTATTGACACATATTTACCTACAATTAGGATCAGCAGATGTAATGATGTGCAAGTTTTATAAATATTGCTAAGCAATTATCCAAACTGATTGGTACACATTCTTACCAACATTAGGTATTTCCCATCTTTTTCATTTTGTCAATTTTTGTGTGTGGGTAGAGATACTACATTGTGGTTTTATTTTGCATTTCCCTGGTGACTGGAGAGGTTGAGCACCTTTTGAGACTTATTAATTTTTTTTATGTTCTCTTTTGGAATGTTACTGCTCAAGTCTTTTGCTAATTTTTTTCTATTGTGTGTCTTTTTCACATTAATACTTAGGAGTTTTTTTTTTTTTCAAAAATACATTCTCCATATGAATCTTTTACCAGATATATTTCTAACAAACATCATACTTTTTCTTCTTTTCCTCTTTTCTTTCATTTTTCCAATGCTGTGTTGAAAACAGCATCAAAGTTCTTAAAACCAATATTTTTACCACATATTCCAAAATGACTTTTTCCCCCCTGATAGTGCCACAAACAGGCCATGTCTAAATAAATATTAGAAAATAATTTTTTAAAAAAATCATTTTAAGTTAATGCTTTACTCTGACAGTGGGTAATAGTTATAAGACCGAAAAGTGCCTTTGCATTTAATATGAGCCAATGGCAAACAGAGATTAATAAAAATGTATATTTTATTAGGCTAACATTAGAATGCAATCATATGTTTAGGACTTCTGTGATTGTATGTGGACTAGCTATAGGTAGAGAGGCTCTCTAGACCAAAGCGGACTAATCCTCAATTAGAATAGCACCTGCAGGCAAAGGGACAAGTCAAAGGAACACTGACTTAGTTTAGGCACTGGGTCATCTTTATCTTTATGAATTTGTGTTCACACCTAATACAATTCCTTTTTTCTCATAGCAAAAGGTAATGTGAGCCAGATGATTATCAAAGAAAATTTCATTCTGATCAAGTCCTCAACAAGTTTTCTTTAAAGAAGGAAAAAGCCTCTTTGGCTTCTTATGACAAATGTCCTGACTCTAGGATGCTAATTTATATCAGATATAATGGAAGCTTTGGATTAGAAGTACATCCCAAATGTTGTGCAGCAATAGCTGGCTACACCCAAGAAGGTGGACACTTGTTAAATATGAGTGGGACTTTTAGGCAGTTTTTATCCTAGAAGAGAAACTCAATCCTGGCAATAATGGTATGTCATATTCTAAAGTGAGAACTGAGAAAAGCATTTGTATATGTTTTTTAGAGTCTTTGTAATAAGAAGGTCTATTTAAGAATTTAGATTTCCTGAAAGGGAGTAGTGAATGAAAGGCTATAAACATCTAAAGACAGTTTCTAGTAGACAAAAATTATCTACAACTCTTTTCCAAATTTGGGAGAACAACAACAACAAAAAAAGCCTCAATAAATTTGTATCAATGTGAACTGAAGATCTGTATGGTTTGGGGGCTGTATTATAAAATAAAATAAAATGGATTAAAGAACCTTTTCTGGATCATATTTAGTAGTATGTGAGATTCAGGTTAACAAAAGGAAGGATCTGATAATGACAGGAAGTGGTGGTAATACTGTAMTATGCACTACTTGAAAATATTCAAAATTCTGTCTCTGCTAGGTCTGCTTTGCCTAATGAATGCAAATGTGAAGGATGTTGTTAGGCCTTTTCTTGAAGTTTTCCAATGATTCAACATTTTGATTAATTCTGAAATATAATCAGACTTAATTTCTAGATGTGATAGGCAAGCGGCCATTGTAATGATTATTGCTGCATGTGGGAGAATTGCCTGGACAAGGTTCAAGTAGCCATAGTATTTGCTTTGGCTCTTTCTCATCTTTTCAGATTTGAGACACATGTCACCCTTTATATGAAGCTGTCTCTTACTATGTTTTCCTGAGGAAATTGAATTGCTTCCTTATTCGTATATCAGTTTCACTCATATCTGTATGTGTATTTCATGCTTTCTTTTTTTTTGAGAGAGAGAGAGAGAAGAAGAGAGAGAATTTTTTAATATTTATTTTGTAGTTTTCGGTGGACCCAACATCTTTGTTTGTATGTGGTGCTGAGGATTGAACCCGAGCCGCATGCATGCCAGGCGAGAGCGCTACCGCTTGAGCCACATCCCCAGCCCTCATGCTTTCTTAAATATTTTCTCCTCTGTTTCTTGAAAACATGATGTTGCCTTATGAAAACTGTTGTTTTTTAGGGACTAGCAAATTGCATGCTGTATAGTGTGTCTTGAATGGGTGCTTATAGAATAAATATGTAATTGGAGGTACAAGTATATTAAGACAAACTGAACAAGTCCTTTTTTATGAAATATAAATAAATTGTATGATTACAGTACATATTTTTGTGTGGTGGTATCTATTATCATTGCTTAAAGTGCATAATGAAAAAATATGATGGTATTTATGATGTTACACTTTTTATACTTAGCATTATTTTCACTAACCAACTACATTATCTACCAAATGCTACACTGTCTAGGCTACTCAGAGATTTGCAGATCATTTTCATTATCTAAAAGAAAAGTAAATTGAACATAATTTAGTAATCAGTTTAGAGCTCTAAATTTATTTTTTGGCTTGGGAAGTAAGTTGGTCATGGTCTATTTTACTAATGTTCATTTGTGACGATTTACCTGCAAACTCTATTTCTCACATTTCCTTGTCCTGTGGCTTCCAGAGATATTTGACCTAGGGGAGCTAGGGATGGGACTGGGGATAATAGGAGAGAGGAAGGTTAGGAGAAAGCCAAATAATTCTCCCTCATTGGCTCATTCTCAGCAGTGTCTTACAGTAGTGGATGATTTTCTCTGTGGTTTTAGCTCCCCACTAGACAGACTTTATTGAGTTCTGATTCCCACAAGCAGCTCCTAGTATATGGAAGTAAAACTTCTCTCCTTTGCACATTGAGCCCTAGRTAGTGGCTTCCTACAATTGCTAAACTTTTGGTTGCTTCCCCATACCCTATTGGCTACTCAGCTCTTGAAGCACTCATTACCTATATATTAAATTTCCTCAATTTTAATTACATAGAGTGGTTTCATGGCTGGCCTCACTGATGTAAGAATTATAGTAATTGATAATGTTTTCAATGTAAGTTTAAATTTTATAATTATTTTCCAAGTCCAGGATATGTAACTTAAATACTCTTGCCATTGATGAATGATGGAATAAGGCACAATATTCAGAAACAGTCTGAATTCACTGTCCTTGGGTGTGATGAGGGAAGACATCCTTCAATTTATAGAATTCCTGATTGTAGAGATACCAGAAATCTGTTTCATCAGCTCTACATTATTTCCATATAAGTGTCCCAATTGTCTTTAAATGTCATTAGGAAGTCCTCTACTATAAGGACTATTGGTATAGAAGTAACTGATAGTATTGTGTCAGGAGCAATTGGTTTGAAAGCCCATATACATTATTGTATAGAAATATGTGTGGGAGGGAAGAGTGATAATTGCGAGGAAGTGATGTATAAGGTCAAGCTAATATAGTTAAACAAGTGATATGACATTAAGAAAACATGTTGGGTATTGTGAGAAGAAATTTGACTTCCTGGTTTAATCACTTTTTTAATATAATCTTAGACCACTTAAATTTCCTCAATTCTCTTTTCTCTAATAGAGAAAGAGAAAATGTGATAATAGGGAGGTAGAATATTCTTTTTATTTTTTTCTGTTTTTCTGTTTTTGTTTTTATAATAGGGATTGAAATCAGGGGCATTTTACCACTAAGCTACATCCCCCAGCCATTTTTTGTTTGTTTGTTTTAAATTTTAAGACAGGGTCTACCTAAGGTGCTTATGACCTCACTAATTTGCGGAGGTTGTTCTCCAATTCACCATCCTTGTGAATCAGCCTCCTGAGTCACTGGGATTACAGACATGGACCACCGTACCTTGCCTGGCAGAATTTCTTGATGAGAACAAAATGACCTGCAAAGAAAAATAATATAGAAGGTGCATATTAACAGAAATTGTGAATAGATTTCAAAATAATTATATTAGAAAAATTAATACTAGGATAACAAAAAGGCAAAGAGACATAATTTCTAGCTTTTTCTTGTGGAAGTTGCAACATTCCTGGTCTAACTGGGTTTTTGCCAGTTAAATCACTTCTCAGTATTTATCCAAAAGAATTAAAGTCAGTGCTGGGGATATAGCTCAGTTGATAGAGTACTTGCCTCTCATGTACAAGGCCCTGGGTTCAATCCCCAGCACCATAAAAAATAAATAAAATAAAATCAGCATAGTGTAGTGATACACACATACCCACATTTACAACAGATCAATCACAATAGCCAAATTATAGAAACAGTTTAGTTGTCCTTC